GATTCATGTCATAGAATTGAGTTTGAATTGTTAGTCATAACATCATTAGTTAGTCATTAAGCATCCCAAGTTAATTGTTTTGTCCCAAGCCAATGCTTTTCCATATTTGATCAAGATCTTTGGTTGTTGACTTTTTGTTTGACTTTTGTTTACTTTTTGTATTTGATATTGTTTATGCTTAGTTATGGTTTGCTTAGATCTTTTTTTAGTTTCTAGTCTTGTTTATCTTCATTTTGCATTCTCATTTTCTTGTTTCACTTAGTTGCATCGTTAGGACTTTGAAAAAAAAAACCAAAATCATCATTTAGCTTAGATTAATCAATTACTTGCATTCTTAATATGTTATTCTGACTCTTTGTGGACTCGATACCTTGACTACTCGTTGCTTGCACTTGAGTATTAATTTGGGATTTAAAACTTTTATCTCAACTATACCTGTATAGATTTATTTTCGTATGGTGTGCTTGATTAACTAAGAATGTTCTCTACCATCTGGTATTAGCATCAAAAGTGGTTCAAACTTTTTCTTCTGGATTTGCAGGCCAAAAGCATTGATGGCAGGAAACGAACTTCCAAATGGTTGAATATGAAAAGGTTAGAGAACGAACTTCCAAATGGCTGAATACAAAAAAGTTTTGTTTAATTTGTTTTTTGATGGTTAGTTATTTAATCTTTGTAATCAGAGGATTAGTAGTTTTTTACTCTAACCTTCTCGGCTTTATCTGATAAGTAATTTACGATTGAGGTAGAAGAATAAGGCCATGGATGTAGTGGAGAATAAATGTAGAAAGAATCAAGACCTCAAAAAAACCCAAAAAGGTGGAGATGATTTTTGCGGCTAATGAATATAACTGGCATATTAAGTTTAATTCTCATGGCTACGGGTTAACAAAGCAACCTCTGCATCAGGCTTTGAGGTTTGTGTACCTTCCCTCGAATATAATTTATACGTGTCCTCAAGAGCATCTATACATAGCAAAAAATTGAGGTGGTATCTTTCTTATTACTTGGCCTATCTACTCCGATCTATGGTTACTTATTGTATATACGACTGTTTGTGAGACGTTATGTTCCAACTGATTCCTCCATGAGTCCATGACTTGGTTTCAAAGTACTTTTAAGAGATGATAAATTATAATCCCAAGTTGAGGTGGTATCTTTGCTACCCTAATTTTATGTATTCCGTCAATTTATACTGAGATGTATAATAGTCCTGATCAAGTTGCTTCTTACACTCTCAAGCTCCTAGGCAACAGAGTCCCTCCAACAGAATCATGGCAAGTTCTCTCTTTCACTGTAATTTTTTGGCAGCTGAAGAAACTATGTTGATATTTGGATCAATGATTTGATCTATGCATGTATGTAGTTCCTGTCTGGTGGACAGTCGGATTTGGAGGCAATCGTAAACATGAACGCAATGAACCAGGGACTGAACTCTTGGCACGTGTCTTTCTCCTACGCACATGTCTTGCATAACACTTTCTTGAAGACATGGGGAGGCAGAGAAGAGAACGTGAACGTGATCAGAGCCAAAGCAATTCGCTGACGTGAAACCAAACATAACTGTTAGAGCTCAAAGAAGCTCAAGGAAGAAGACGAAGATAAGATTGGAGAAAATGAATTTCTGTTATTGACTTCAATGCTGCGTTTTAACGTTTTATACATTGACTCAAACCAAGTAACAAACAATTGAACCAACCTAAACCGTAAGACCGGTTATCAAA